CAAGGTGTGGCAGTGCACAACCGCGGGATCTGTGCAAAGCCATACCGCATAACGCGCTAGAGAGTCCAAATTTACTGGTATGGTTGGCTCATACTCGCACGAAGTCGTCGGAATTTGGCCAAAGGGAAGCAGGTCTGCACTGATCGGTAGCTCCTGGAAACCGTAGATGGAGTCAACGGCATCGCTGCTGTCCTCGACCGGTGCACGTCGTGTGCCTCCCGCCCGAGTATTCAGTCGGGTGACCAGCATGCCCACAAAGCCGTGCCCTAGTCGGCGATCGTGCGAGCAGACAAGCACGGGCAAGCTGCCACACAGTGCCATATAGTCAAAGGCTTCCGCAACCGTCGCAAGGTAACCCGCAACGGAAAAGAGGGAGTCGTCCGTGTGCAAAGGGACACCTTCCTGAAAGACACGCCAAGTTGCCGGGTAGTCGGTGAAGTCAGGCACGTCCGTGAGGCCGGGGAGTACCTGCACCAAAAGGTGCCCCTCGTACACTTGAAGGTGAAGGTGCTCCATACCCGAGATTGCATGTTGTATAGACGCCAGCGCCAGGGATATGGGCCGATGAAGTTCGGTACCAACTCTGCTGACCACATGGTGCGTGTAGAACAATTGGACAGCCATGGTGCACACTACCACCGATGAACAGGTTGCTCCAACCCCTGGCTGGCGACGTATGTCACCGCCTGAGCCGCGATTAGAATCATCAGCATGCAAACGGCTCAGGGCAGATTTCAAGCCCCTCCCCCCCTACCCACAGGACCTTTTGGCACTCCAATCCTCCCTCAGCCTGTGGCATGTAGAGCATGACGCACTGGACCGCCACTGCCTGTTGACTTAAAAAAAGGGGCGGATACCGGTCCGGTTTATTGGGCCAGAGTCCAAGAACCACTGCCGGGCAATCAGTCCAAGTAAAAGGTTTGGTAGCCCTGTCGGCCACTGGTGTCCCAGTCGCGGTGGTTCGCAATTTGCTCCACCACGCTGGCCACCTGCTTGAACCAAACCCTCACCGTTTCGTTTCCAGCATTTTGCCAGTTATGATGTAATTCGATCACAACCAGGTTGGCGCGCATGCCCAGGGCCGCCATGAGTATCACATCGATGTCGCTTGGGGTGAGCTGGAACTCGGGGTCCGCAGCCAAGTCGAAGTGACACAGGTCACCATGGCGAACGTTAATGTGCGGGTCCAGGCGCCTCCACATCATCGGCAAAGGCAAAGCCGCCATAGCAGAAGCAGGGCGGGCGAGAGTGGAAGCTGTATGCGAGGTGAGGGTGCTGGCGACGTATGTCACCGCAATCTGAGCCAAGGGACAAACACAGAAGTAGGGTGGGAGCAATGCACACGCAAGCGACCCAGAAACACGTCTTTTCCGCAGGAGCGAGAGAGATCATGATCCGGGTCACGGTGGCGAACCACCAAGCCCAACTTCAAAAAACCCTGTTGGCCAGAAGGAGCGCCGGAGGTCACTCGGCCCCCTCACGGAGGAAGGCCTGGTAGCCGTGGCGACCGGCGTCGTCGTTCCTCGTGCGCGAGACGGCATCCACTCGTCGGGGATCATCGGGAAGGAACTTGACCCAGGCCCGCCGAGTGCGTCCTTCAAAGACCACGCAGTTCGCACCGCGCTGGGATGCAAGGGTCAGCGCGAAGGTGACAAAGAGCGGGTCGATGTCGCTGGAGGAAGTAATCTGGAACATGTCGTAGCCAGGGATGTTGACGTTGACCGGCATCTCGTTCCACGAGCTTGCCATGTTGAACAAGAGGCCGGGGCGGATCAGGGAACGGAAAAAGGACGTCGTCGTATGCCGACGTGCTGAAAGCCCACACAATAGCAAGACTGAAGGAAGCCAAGGCAAAGGACCAATGCCAAATGCAAGCACACAAGGATGCCCACCCCCCCCTTTTTGGCGACGGCGGCCTTGCTTTCGCGGCAGGCAGCAATATCCTGCGACCTCCAGGCACGGGACGGCTGCGACGCAAGAGCAGCCAACGCCGAACCGAGACACCGACCTCCTTGCCATGTAGCACAGAGATAAAGCAAACCTGAGGCCCGTACGGCTGGAGTGGCTGCAACGCCTGGCCAGACTCAACTAGTGATGCGTTGAGGCTGAAGACAAAGCATGCGGGCAGCATTTACCTTTGTCCCGACGCAGACGGCTTGGCAGGGGTTCAATCCATGTCTTCCAAACCGGCAGCTCTAGGCGAGGCCGTGGCTCGAGGGATGCAAGTCAATGAAGGTCGCACCCCCATCGGGTAAAATGTCTGCAACCGCGGTCTAACGCCTGGCACTCCGCTCGCTTCCCGGGAAGCGGCCTCTGGCAAGTCGTCACAGGTTACTCCAGAAGCCGGGAGACCTGCAGGTTCCTGCCCTTGGTTCTCTTCAGCGGTGGTTGTGCGCCCATTGCTGCCCGACTCAGGTGGTGCACTGTAGGCATGCCCGCTGGCCAGATGGCGCTGACGCTGCTCACACTGGGGGGTGTGCGTCTCCGCATTCGTATGGTCGCAAGGAGCGCAGCATCGGGTGTGCCCGACTCCCGCCACTCGCGAGCAATTCGGGGAGCAGCAAAGGGACAATGTTGACCGCCGCATCCGGCGCAACAGCCGGGCAACGTGCCGCTCACATCGATCAGTGTGTTGCCCCACGCTGCATAGGGAGCAGCAGTGGCGGTGCCTGCCCTTGAAAAAGGTGCGTTGACATCCTGGGGTGGTGCACACATACGGGCAGGTAGCCCAGTGTGCTTCTTTATGACCACCCCGAGGAGGTGGATTCTCACGCGCCACCAGTCTGACGTCTTGGTTCCCAAAGCCGCCACATCTAGGCCCATTGACGGAAGCCATACCACCTGGCTGACGACGTATGTCGTCGCCCCCTCCCCTCCCCCGACAGAACAATACTCGGTTTGAGGTGCAGGGCTGCAGGCAAACAAGCATGGACAACCACGACTGAGAAAACACGGACGCGGTGTCCCTCTGAGGCAGCCACAGAACAAGTCACGGTTTCAGCGCATCCTTACGGTGACAGGAGAGGCATAGCATGCAATCCGCAATTCTCCTGCGCTGGGCCATTTGCATTTCTCAGGGGAAACTCGCATTCAAAAAAGTCCTTTGGCAGGAGGTCAACTAGACCCGCTACGGGCTAGTCCCTGCAAACACAAACTAGGGGGTACGCGCCCCCAGTAGTGGCTCCGCACCACTGTAAGTGCGTCAGATCGGCCGCGATCTTTTCCGGCTGGTCTTCGGTTTGGGAGTCGGGATAGCGGGCGGAGCGTCGGCGGTTGTTTCCACTGCTGTGGCAGCGTTCACAGGCTCGAGAGCCGTCGGGGAATCAACCTCGGCACTGTCCATAGGGTTTCTCCGAAGACTGAGCTTGATGACGGTCATTGCTCGCCGGTCGGCTCATTGACCGGAACCGGCGCCGGAGGGCCGTGTGGCGGCCACCACGGGCCCGCTCCAGGGTGAGCCGTCGGCTCTCCGTCTGACTCCGGCTCCGAAGGGAGCTGAGCCTTTTCTAACGCTGAACGGCTCCTGCGACTAAGTCCGCACGCCGCAGCTAGTACGTAACCTCCCCTACTAGACTAGTCCTACGTTTCACCGCTGTTTTGTGTGTGTTTGTTCGTTTGTTTGTATATTGGGACCGAGCGCTGCAGCTGCAGCCGCCGAGGCCCGCAGACGCCAAAAAAAACGCACTGCTGGCCAGGTACATCCGCAACTCGCGCGGTGAGGGGCGAAGTAGACAGAGCTTGCTGGATGCACCTAGAGCGGGGGGAATCGCTCTGCATAGCTTGCTTCTTTCCCTCTCGCGAGCAATGCCACGCTACGCATTGCATCTCCGCAACCTCTGCGGAAAAAAGGGGAGTGCAGTCCCCGCTGCACTGCTACTTTCGTTAAAGAGCAGATTGTGAGTTTGTTTTTTGGTCAACAGTGCTTTCTATCTTGTGTCGAAAGCCTTTACGCAGCATGTTATCGCGTTGCATTGCTTCTCGGCACAAGCAAGCTCACAACATGCGTTCTTTTGCTTAGCACCGCTGTTAAGCAAAATTCGTTTTTTCACCCACCCTCCACGCCCTGAGGGAATCGCTCTGCATAGCTTGCTTCTTTCCCTTTCGCGAGCAATGCATCGCTACGCAGTGCATCGCAGCAACCTCTGCGGTAAAAAAGGGGAGTGCAGTCCGCGCTGCATTGCTACTTTCGTTAAAGAGTAGAGAACGGACTTATTTCACCGCATTCATTTTCCCGGCAACATGTGAATGGCATGTCGACATACCGAAGGCATTCGTTCAGTGAGAGAAAATTTACAAGAAAGCCGTCCATTACTGTGCCGTGGCGCTTAGCAGGCTTAGCACTGTGCTTTTGAAGCGAGGCGTTTTTTTTGCAGTTGTGAGGGCCGCCGACAGTTCGGGCAATCGCCGCAGACTGTCGTCGATGTTTTGAATATTTCTTGTTGCAAATTATTGTTGTTCGGAATGCTAGTAGCTAGCAGTGATACGAGTATCCCTACTAACTACTGTTACAACAACAACAACTACAACTACAACAACAACAACAGCAACAACAACGACTTCTGCTGCAATTGAACCCTGTGGTTGAAATATATTGACCCAGCTCCAGTTTTTGTTTAAATCTGTCCATGATGGGTTTTCTTGTGTGACTTGGCGCATAAGTAGCATGTCAATTTTCTTGACCAAGTTTTTCCTGTTTGATCCTTGTAGTGCATTCTCTAGGTCCAAGATTTAAGTGTTTGTGACCCACCACCCTGCCATGTGATATGTGTTTTCGCATGCAGTCTATTGCGTCCCTTGTCGTAGTGCACTTGGATCTCCGTTATGCGTGGGAAAACCGAGTAATTAACCGGGCAAGTCGTTCCGAGTTTTGATCTTCAGGTCTTTCGAGTTTTGATCGCACACAAAACCGCGAACCATCAAGCTGTGCGTCGCAAGTCCGCTCCTCAAGACGCACTCATGCGTCGCACGCTGTCTCGGCGATTTAGGACGGGCCGCCCGTCATGGTGCTGATGCATCCTTGGCTCGGCATCGTGTTCTTCCGATATGTGTCTGGCCAAACGGAGATCAAGGTCCAGTGGGCCCGAAAAAAACATGTCGAGGAGTGTTGGCGAATTTTAGCCAGAGTTCGAAGAAACCTGGGCATTTTTGTGCAGGTCGCTGGATCCTCCACGGTTTTTCCGGTTGCAAATGCATGGGCAAATGGCATCCAGAACGCCAGTAGCTTTGTGATCACCATCGAAGGCGGGCACTGATGCAATTCAGACCGGGTAACCTTGAATAACGAGTTTTGTTGGGAAGCATCTTTGGAGTTTGAACCTGAGAGGTGGCGGCTCCAGCTCCGGTGCAAGGCGTGTGTGCAAGGATCGTGCGGATCCGGACCACGCATCTTGGCTGAAGGAAGACTAGGAAAGAAGTGTACGAGGCGGCGGAAAGGGTGGGCACGGTGACCGAAAGCCTGTATATGGTACACTTCCGACAGGTGGAACAATGAACATGCAGGTTTCTAGGTTTGCACTCGCCCCCCTTTACAAAGCGTTTGTTTCCACAGGATCCGTGCTCCGTCTGTGCACAAAGCGAGCTCATGTGACCGTGCAGAAGCAGGAAAAGCTTATTCCTAGCAGGCCCTACCACATGAACTGCAGTGAATCTTCGGGGCATGTTAATGCTCGGTTTGTGAATGTGCGCTCACACACACACACACAGACCTGGCCCGTGCCATTCATGTGCAGCGAGAGTGTTCCGTGATAAGGTTGACATCGGCGACATGTCGCGCAATTGGAAAAGTAGCGAGGCGCTCTTGCTGGACGATGACTACACGTGGACCGGGCAAGAACGATGCATGACTCATGACTTCGAGTTTCGAAACCATCCCGAGCCTAGGGTTGTAGATGCACTTGCATGGGCTTGCCAAACGTGCATGAATACGAGCAGGGCGGGTCAAGTGCTTGGGATTTGTTTCATAGCTCTCCTCTCGGGGTTCGAGGTGGGAGTGCAGCAGCTCGAAGATCCGCGTGACGCAGCTCCAAGTCGGGACTGACGGCTTAGCCGTGGCGGTTGCGAAGACCCTTGGTGTGCTTCTGGATAGTGCCACGCTTGAGGTTTGAGTTTGGGAGTGTTGGAAGGACGTTTCAAGCAGACTTCGCTTTTCTTCATTTTGTTGGGGCCTTGGCTCTCCACGGAGTTTATTGTCGCTTCGGCCTTGCAATGGAGATGTGTTTTAAGGGCCTTTCTTTCTCCAGTTCTGCTCAAGCTTTCGAAGATTTTTGTTTTTACGGCGACATGCAAGAACACCCAGGGGCGGCCGGGCGCACGACTGCCTGACGTCGGCGGAGGTGGGCGGCCTGACGTTGGCCATGCTCCACTGGATGTTCACGGACTGGCGCCTCGGCCGCAGCGCGAGCAAACGGTGCAGGGGCCTCCCGCCACCCCGGCCCGCACGCCTCGCAGGAGCAACGAGCAGCTGGAGAGCTACGGCGTGGATTTGGCCTCCGTGATCCCCAACGATGACGCGGACGGCATCAAGGACTTCGGTCTTCCGTGCTCGGAGCAGGCGCTTTGTGTCGGACCGACGGTGTGTGCAGGAGTGGAGCGACCTGTCTTCGGCCTGCCCAGAGGCACGCTCTGCTTTGTCGGGCGTCCTTTGCTGCAGTTCTGGGCGGGGTGCTCCCGGCGGCGAGGTGCCGATCAACATCTACGGGCCAGGGTCCGACTCCGGGACCTACGGCTTCTTCGCAGAGGCCACGCTCTGCGAGGACTGCTTCGCGGGGAGCCTCGGCAGCAGATCTTCCGACACCGGTGTTCCCCTCTTTCGGGTCTGGAGCCCCGCCCAGGGAGGACGGCTACGATCCCGAGGGCTTCCCGTACTGCCCCACGGACAAGCACAGCGCCCTGGAGCAGCTCAGCACGGAGCCGGACATCGCCGACTTCATCCAAAACCAGAGGCCTCCCTGCACCGTTGCTCTCATGGGTTGCCTGCCGTACTGTAGGAGTTTCCTAGTGAAGCCTTCACCACCGCCTAGCATTCAAAAAGAAAGGCCATTGAACTGCTATATGCACTCGGAGTCTGACTATCAACTCTTTGAGTGGCTGTCGGCAGCTCCTTGGCCACACTTTCGGGTCTTCTTGAGCCGTTCCTTACATGAAGCAAGGACTTGGCGGGAGCTCTTGCTCTCTTAGATTGTTGGCTGCTTCATCGTCTGGTTTGAGTATGCCAGACTGGGGAGACAGAGCACGATTTCCGAGATTTTCTGCTGAATGAAGCCAGGATTCGGCAAAGCTGAATGGAAGCACCTTGAATGTGACAACGAGAACATCCCATCTCGAGAAGAAACCCAAGCAACGGACCGGGCTAAAGTTAAAGGATCAAGGTGTGAAAGGCCCTGGCCATCATGTTTGTGGAACAGCAGGAAAGGCAGGTTTACCCTGTGTTCCAGCATGCCTGAGCCACTGAGATTTCTTGACGGGCAGTCAGCCGTGCCTAGAGGCCTTCGGAATGCGAGACAAGCTTTAGTGTCGCCTCCGAAGTGCCTCGCTGCTCAAAGAAGAATCAGGTGCTCCAGAGAACTGAAATTGTAACGGGGAGATCCAGCACTTTGGTCATCTGGTGGTGAGAAGAAGACCAGATAATGCTCCAGTCTCATGGAGTGTGTGACCTCATGAGATCCCCTTGTGAGGATCCCGGTGGCATCGTCTATTTCGGTTATGCCTACTTTGCCCAGTATGCCAATCTGCTGACAGTGGCGCGAATTGCCAACGACAGGTACAAAGGCGTCAAGGACCCGGCTGGAGGGTTTTCAGCAAGAGTACCTTCAGGTTATGTCGTGGCGATGCAACTGTTTGGGAGTTTAGTCTGTGTCTTCATGCTCGCTTTGCCACTTTGGCAGGATACGGCCGATGCGAGGGTCGAGCCATCGACCTACACCATCACTGACGGATCTTACGATGTTTACAGGCGCCAAACACCCTCAAACCAATAATCCACGCTTAACTGCATGGACTTTTAGAGCTTCTGTGTCACTAGTGCTGTTGATACCTTGCAAATCCTTGCAGGCGGAGCTTGTTCATGAATGTCGACAACGAGGCAGGCAGTGCTGTAGCATGGCTTTTCGGTGCAGCTTTTTGTGGAGAGGGGGCGTCGTAGAGACGAGTCCAAGGCCTGGGACCGAGTGCACCCTTTCCTGAGCTTCGGCTTCAGTTCTGCGGGTCAGTCCCTGGTGGCTTCCGTGGGCTACGTCGCGGCGAACGCCGCCCTCCTGTCCAAGATGAAGATTCGGCAGCTCGTCAGGTCTCGTCAAGCTTGTGAGTGGGCCGTTGATGCTCGGAGGGCTTTGGTTCCCAAAGGTCACAGGTACATTTAGACTCGCTGCTGCTTTCAAGTCTCAATTGCGCAGCACAGATTCGTTTCTGCGGAAGTGGGAGGATTCAAACTTAGTTGTGATGGGTGATGGGCGTTGGTTGAACTTCCGCACCGTCTCGGGTTGGTAGGATCACTCCAACATCCGCAGCCTCCGACTGAAGGATCGAGGAGCGTGGAAACGAAGAGGCGGACTACGTGTCCGTGGCTCCCTCGAGCTGCCCTGTCGGAGCCGAGCTGCGCGCGGTCCCCTACATCAACCAGCAGCTTGGAAAAGAAGGATGCCCCCATGACGAGCTTGAAAGCAAGCTTCCGCCCTTTGTCCGCCAAGGTTCGGAAACAGCAAGATCAACTACACTTGCAGTCTTTGCTCTCCCGGGAGCTTCAAGTATCTGGACACCCCGACAGCATGCACGAGCTGCGAGCCGGGCCGTTACACGGACCAGGCGCTGGAAGGGGGGGGGGCCCCAAAGCAGCGCCCAAACAGAAAGCGGTAAAACGGTGTGCTAGGACGAGACATCCCATTCCATGGGTCCATAAGTTCCGTAGTCTTTTGTCATCTCAAGTATTTCAAGATCAGCAAGTCTACACACATGATCGGGTTGATGCTGTAATCCTTACCAGCTTATCGACACGGCACATCACTGCCTTCCTTTCCGTTCTCATCCCTTGCATCCAGGTGGGGCAGAGTAGCTGCAGGCTCTGTGACCCTGGCTATGAAGCCTTGAACGGCACCAGCTGCCATGCCTGCGGGGTCGGGCTACTTGACAGGGGCGTCTGGAGCTCTACTCCGGCTCTGAGAACCGCGTAGAGGAGTGCTGTGTGAAGTGAAGGGTGCGAATCCGTTCGACTTGCCGGGTTGGTCTTGAAAGTTGCACCATATTGCATTTAGCATGATTGCAGTCATCATGCTTTTCATTTTCTCGAGGTAGTTGGTGGTTTGTCCGCATCGTCGCGGCACAGAGTGGTAGCAGTCCTGTTGCGAACGGAAGACTTGTAGATGTTGCAGAGCAAGAGCTCCGCCCAAACTGATAATTGATATCCCTGAGTGTTAAGGCCTGAGCCTTAAGGAGCCTCTGAGGTTTTACAAAAGAGAGGCGGCCGCGGCCTCCTGCTCGCCTTGCGGAGCTGGCACCTTCAACAACCAGACAGCACAGGCCGGGGGCAGATGGGGCTAGAAGGGGGGGGGTGGGAATTGGGGTGGGACTTTCAAGTTCTCCATGGATGGGAAGATTTCCGGGGATGCCCCAGCAAGGCGGAGTGCGCTTTCTGCGGCCCTGGCTACTTCGCGCCCCAGGGCTCCACAGAGCGCCTTGGCAGTGAAGGGCTTCGGGCCAGAGCCCTGCAGAGCCCTGCCGAGCCCCGAGCCCAGGTGCTCTGCTTGCCCCTTGAACGAAGTCGCTGCAGCCCCCGGCTCCGCGAGCTGCAGCCGCTCGCTCTGAGACTCCGGGGGAAAGTGGCCCGTGGAAACTTCGACTTCGATGTCGCTCTCCCGGTTGAGAGGCCTCTTCAAGCGAGAAGCCTACTCCGAGAGAGAGGGTGTGTATCTGTGTATGTATATGCTGGAGGCCATTTGTATCAGCCTCGAGTTTTGTGCCATACACCGTTTTCTCGAGCTAAGCGGGGTGAAGCCTAGCGTTTTTTCACCAGCCCCAATAAAACGACGTTGGACATGAAAGCCCTGACCTTTCAAACTGTACAATTGGAGCTAGCTGAAACCCCCCAAATCCCAGATCGCTGCGGCGACGGCTTCACCACGACGCAGGTGGGGAGAGTGTCCTACTGTTGTAGCCCTACAGCTTCGGCATCTCGTTGTGCCATGTTTTGCGTGAAGCCAGCATGTATCCCGGTAACCATAACATGCCTTAACCCTGCATTATTGACTTGAGATATTCTGTCTGGAGAAGAGAACTGGAAAACCGTAACGTCGTTCGTCATTTTCCAAGCCCCAGGAGCCCAGCGCCGGAATGGATTCCAAACAAAACCGTTCCTTGAGTCCAAGGCCAAGCTTCTAAGTCCCAGCAGGTGGGATCCACGGCGTGCAGTCGCTGCCGGGCTGGGACCTTCCGCTCCAACGAAACACAGTGCTCCGGGCTTTCTGTCGGGTTGAGGGCCGAGGGTCGAGCTTTGTGTGCTGATTTTGGAATGTGCACGGAGCGAAGTGGGGGCCATCTTGGTGGGGTAGCAGGGTGTTTCTGTCTGGACAGCGGAAATAATGCTGCTGCATCGAGTTTTTTTCGGCTTTCACGTGTCTTGAGGTGCGTTCACTGCGCTGGTGACAAGACCACGGCATTCCAGGCTGGCGACGGCTTGTGCAGGTTCTTTCACGTGCATCGTCGAGACCGATGCAAGAGTTTGCATGTGCCGGTGGGACATACAGGCAGAGTCCTGCAAGCCTGTTTCCGTGGCAGGGTGCCGTGCTCAAGAGCGACTGCATCTGCCCAGCCGGGAAGTACTTGCGAGACGGGCTGACAGGCCCGGCATCGTCCAAACTCCACGGCTGTATGCAGGCAGTATGCTGAGCTGCAACTCCGACCCAAGTCGTGCTGCAGTCATGCTATCAATGGTTCACATGCCCGTCCCTGTGTCTAAAACGACTCGAAACTCTGAGCCTTCCTCAATTATTTTGCATATCCGATGCCAGGAGACAGCATGGAAGCAATGTCGAGCGGCACCTGCGTTGAATGTGGCTTGGCCTGGAATCGGCTGTATATCCCGAAGAGACTGCAATATGAGAGAGGTTCCGATGGCATGAACTGCCCCTTGGGCAGCGATCTCCGCATCTGGGCGAGTCGCTTGGAGGCATTGCATTCAGACTTCGGTCTGCAATCGCTGCAGGCCGTGCCCCTGCTTTCGAAGCTGAGGTGTCCTCGCCGGTGCAGAGATGGATCCGGAGGAGGGCCGCCCGAGAACACCACATGGGCCGGGCCGGAACGTTTTGGGAGCTTCGCCATCTGTGAGGACCAGCTGTTCCCTTTGCTCCAACCGGGCTACTACTCCACTCCGGAGGAGCCGATGCAGGCCCGGGCCCACAGAAAAGGACAAAAGGCTTCACGCTGAAGACACCCCCCCCCGTGTGTGAGCAAAACCGGGTCTATTTGGAAGCTCTTTCTTATGTCTTTAATAAGGGGAATGTACACTTACATGTAATTATGAAAAGAAGACAGCAAGGACTGTTGTGGCGTGTATACATAAGCAGTTTTTACAGGTTCAAGAGTTTTTACAGGTTCAAGAGTAGCAGTACCAGCCACAACAGTCCCGTTTGAAGTAAGCGACTTACTTTACTAGCTACACCAGACCGGTTCTAAAACAAAGCCCGTGCTCTAAAACTAGGTCTGTCTATTGTTCTGCACGATCAACAACAAAGTAAGAAGTTACAAGCCTTGCTGTTTTATGGAGTAATTTCAGAAACCAAAAAAACCAAAAAAACCAAAAAAACCAAAAAAACCAAAAAAACCAAAAACCAAAAAAACCAAAATAACCAACCCCATACCTCCGGAGCCGCCCGGTGATATGGGGTCGGTTCTTTTGGTTTTTTTGGTTTTTGTTTTTTTTGTTTTTTTTGGTTTTTTTTGTTTTTTTTGGTTTTTTTGGTTTTTTTCGCTTCTGCACAGGTACGCGCCTCAGCCGAGCGCACTTGCCGTAGAAAGCAGTGTTGACTATCCGGCAGGCAAGACTTGAAGGAAATAACGGCTTTAGGCCGGTTCGCGTGCCCAGCCTTTTGGGCCTTTTCATGACTTGCTGATACGGTCCTCATGAAGCACTGCGTGGATTATGATGCCTTCCAGGGGTGTTCCTAAATAAGAACAAAAATTAAAACAAAACAATACCAAAAACAACCAAACAAAAACAATATCAACAAACCAAGAAAACCAATACACAAAAAAACAAAAACATATTGCGGAACTCTTTGCAATCATGCGCACTTGTGAAAGAGTTCTGGATATTGTTGTTTTTTATATGTGTATTGTCTTTTTGGTTATGTTGGTGATGTTTTTTTGCTCATTTTTAGAAATGGGTTTACTGTGCTGGTTCTGATCCGCCTTGTCTCATGGCTCGGAGCTGCCTTGTTCGAGTCCAATATTAGATATTGCTGATCGTATGGCCTTCCCATAGCATCGCATTCCCACACAGTGATAGATTCATGTGTTAACAAACTGATATATCAATATAGTTAATGTAAGGGAACTAACAATAGTGTATTTGTATACGTGCATATAATTGTTCTTTCTATATTGGTACATTGGTGCATGAGCACAGTAGTATTTTGGTGTACTAATATGTTTTTATATTCGCATATTCGTATATTACAGAAGTTCAGTAGTATATTATTGGTATACCAGTATATGTACTATACTCTTATATTACCCAATATTGTATAGGTATATCAATATGTTGACATTGTAGTATATGAATATCTCCGTATGCTTGCGTATTACACTATTCGTGTCCATCAATATTTGCGTAAAAATATTGATATTGGTATAAGTATTGGCATTGATACTAGTACTAGTACTAGCATTAATGCTAATATGAATGTGGTGATGTGTATTCGCAGGAATGTTTGTACTAGTATTACTCTTGACTACATCAAAAATAGTAGCATATTGATACATGACTGCGTTATAATATATTTGTACTTTAATATAGTGGTATGCATACGTATGTACTTCAGTATCTGCAGGTGTGTATTAATATTGGCATTAATATACGTACTAATGTCATTGTGAATATGATTATGAGTATGCACAGGGGCATGAATGTTAATATTAACATTGGTATTATGCATCGTCGTGTTAGCCTTAAAATAAGCGTTAACATTAGTACAATCGTCTTGGGTTGAGTATTCAACAATTTATCAATGTCAGTATTAGTAGTGGTGACAGTATTATTATTGACAACCATAGGAATATATGTGTTGGTATTTGCAGGACTGTCGATACTTATATAAATACTGATGTTTGAAAAGTACGGCCATTGGATTAGCAAAAGTATTAAACTAATCGGATTTTCCTATCATGACTTGTACTCGCAGGCAAATTCGGAAAAAGCGTCAAAACCCTGGGGTTATGAAAAGCCAATAAGCACTGGGCACCTGATCCGGCTTAGAACCATAACGGCTTTAGGAACGGCTCCTGCCTCATCGCGCGAAGCAGCTTCATCAAAATACTATGTGGCATTACGACGCCATTATTCGTGATGTGTGTTTTCGCAGGGGGGGCTTCCCGCATTGAACCTTCATATTGTTATAGTAACAACCGTGTTAACAATACCATAACGGCAATAAGACTGATTGCAACAATTACGTTAAAGAAGTGATACATATTACAATCACAAAAACAACGGTGACAATTGAAATGACATGAAGGCCGTTCTCAAAGAGAAAAGCCTTGAGCATCTGTATGAGAATTTGTCCTAATACAAGCCTCATGAGCATATGTCGCTTCGTTTTGGGTGTTCTGCACATATGCGTAAACGTAGTTTTCCATGTCACGTGTGTTGCCACAGAGACCGCTCGAAGCAAAGCATGCTTGTTCTGCTGCATCACAGGTAGCAACGAAGAGGTAAAAAATGCTGATGTTGTCCTTATCTTCCCACGCCACAACAGTCCCCTCTCAAAGAAGAAGGCATCTTCCAAATAGACCTGGTCGGTCTTGTCCCAGAGACCCGGGGATCCAGGATTTTTTTAGTTTTTTTTAGCTTTTTGTTTTTTTGATTTTTTTCGCCTCCCAGGGACCCGGTGATCCAGGATTTTTTAGTTTTTTTGAGTTTTTTGATTTTTTTTGTTTTTTTTGCCTTTTTCAAAAAACTCAAAAAAATGAAAAAAGTTTTTTTGAGTTTTTTGATTTTTTTGACTTTTTCAAAAAAACTCAAAAAATGAAAAAAATCAAAAAAATCCAGGGTGCTCCCACAGGGATGATCAAGCGCTCCAGGCCGGAGACCCTCAGGGCAGGGGCGCAACGGCCAGGCATCGCCTCCCAGGGACCCGGGGATCCAGGATTTTTTTCGTTTTTTTTTAGTTTTTTTGATTTTTTTGATTTTTTTGATTTTTTTGCCTTTTTGAACAAATTCAAAAAATGAAAAAATCAAAAAAAATCCAGGGTGCTCCCACAGGGAGGATCAAGCGCTCCAGGCCGGAGACCCTCAGGGGAGGGACGCAACGGCCAGGCATCGCCTCCCAGGGACCCGGGGATCCAGGATTTTTTTCGTTTTTTTGATTTTTTTGATTTTTTTGCCTTTTTGAAAAACTCAAAAAAATGAAAAAAGTTTTTTTTGAGTTTTTTTTGATTTTTTTGCCTTTTTCAAAAAACTCAAAAAAATGAAAAAATTTTTTTTGAGTTTTTTGATTTTTTTGCCTTTTTCAAAAAACTCAAAAAATGAAAAAAATCAAAAAAATCAAAAAAAACCAGGGTGCTCCCACAGGGAGGATCAAGCGCTCCAGGCCGGAGACCCTCAGGGGAGGGGCGCAACGGCCAGGCATCGCCTCCCAGGGACCCGGGGATCCAGGATTTTTTTCGTTTTTTTGATTTTTTTTGATTTTTTTGCATTTTTCAAAAAACTCAAAAAAATGAAAAAAGTTTTTTTGAGTTTTTTGATTTTTTTGCATTTTTCAAAAAACTCAAAAAATGAAAAAAGTTTTTTTGAGTTTTTTGATTTTTTTGCCTTTTTCAAAAAATTCAAAAAATGAAACAAATCAAAAAAATCCAGGGTGCTCCCACAGTGAGGATCAAGCGCTCCAGGCCGGAGACCCTCAGGGGAGGGGCGCAACGGCCAGGCATCGCCTCCCAGACACCCGGGGATCCAGGATTTTTTTGATTTTTTTTCGTTTTTTTGATCTTACCATACTATTACTAGTGCTGTTACTCTTACAATTACTTTTACTACTCCTATCATTATTATTGTTACTATTACTATCACTATCACTATCACTATCACTATTATTATTACTATTACTATCACTATCACTATCACTATTACTATTACTATTACTATTACTATTACTATTACTATTACTATTACTATTACTATTACTATTACTATTACTATTACTATTACTAGTACTAGTACTAGTACTAGTACTAGTACTAGTACTAGTACTAGTACTAGTACTAGTACTAGTACTAGTATTAGTACTAGTGCAATTATTATTACTATTACTATTATTACTACTACTACTATTATTACTACTATTACTATTACTATTACTAGTAATAATATGATTATTACTACTACTACTACTACTACTATTGTTACAACTATTACTATTACTATTACTAGTACTAATAATATGATTATTACTATGATTATGACTATTACTATTATTATTCTAACTATGAATATTATACTACTAGTGCTAGTATTATTACTACCATTGCTATTACTTTTACTATGACTATCACTGTTACTGTTATTATTACTATTAATCTTATTCTGACCCTTACCGTTAGTATACTGTTACTACTATTATTGCTGTTGCGGTTATTACTATTGCTATTACGATATTACACGTACTATCACTACTAAGTCACTACTACTAGTATTATTACTAGTACTCTTACGATTATTATCTCTATCACGATTACTATTATTGTTTCTATTACCAGTACTCTACTTGTACGAGTACTATTACTGTCACCATTACTTTTATCATTATTCTTACTACTTTTGCTATTACTATTACTACTGCTATTACTATTACCATTTCTATGACTGTTACTCTTGCTTTTACTACTAGTAAAATTGCTACTGCTACTGCTGCTATTACTATGATTATCACCATTACTGTTATTGCTACTGCTACTCCTCATCTTACTATGACTACTACTACTTCCACTACTACTTGTACGACTACCTACTTCTACTACTACCACAACTGCTACAATGACCACTACCACTACCACTACGACCACGTCTACCACTACCACTACCACTACCATTACCGCGACCGCTGCCGCTACCACTACCACTGCCACTACCATAACCACTGCCACTACCACTACTACTACTGCCCCTACGATGACTAATGTTACTATTGCTATTACTACTTTCACTATTGTCAC